AGGATTTATAGCACCATTTGTAATCTGAAATTGATTGAAAATTCCATCAGTATGTATTACTAATAAATTATTACTAGAATGCAAAACTTGGAATTAAAGAGCTACTCCTCAATATAGCAGTTGTAAAATATGACCTTTTGACAGAAATGATGGAGAATGCATAACACATGGGCCTCACCCGATGGACTACAGAGGAATAAAGATTGACAATATCTGTGGAAAATATCATTGAAGAAGCTCAATATCAACATTCAAAACAAAGTTAGGAGCTGATTGTGGAACTACTCATATGCAAGCTCAAATTAAAGGTGAAGAAAATGAAAACAAGTCCACAGAACCAAAATATGACTGTGCATCTATCTACACTGAATCTTACAATCATCTCAAGAATAGATTTGATAGATTGAGCACTAATGATTGAAGACCAAATGAGTTGTTGAGTATCAAGGACATCATCCATGAAGAAAGTGAAAGGTCACTATGAAGACAAAGGAGAAGGAAAAGACCAAAAGTAATGTCAGAAGAGACTCTGAAACTTGCACTAGAATGAAAAGAAGTCAAGACAAGGGGAAGAAATGCTGATGTAAAAAATCTGGGCACAATATTTCATAAGGCAGCTCAAGAAGACAGAGTAAAGTACTATCATGAAAAGTGCAGAGCTGGAGTTAGAAAATAAAAAGGGAAGCACAAACTCTGCATCCTCAAGCTAAAAGAGCTGAAGAAAAAAATTCAAGCTTTTAATTGCAATATTAAGGGATTATATGGACCAAATCCTGAACAACACTGAAAGCATCCAAAGAAGATGGAAGAGAGATACATGAACAAATGCTCAAAATCACTGGCAATAAGAGAAATGCAAATCAAAACCACAATGAAATACCATCTTGCTCCAGTAGCAGTGGCAAAGTTTAACAGGACAGCAAATAATACATGTTGGAGAGGATGTATATAGAAACTCTTATATGTTGTGGTGGGATTGTAAAGTGGTACAGCCATTCTGGAAGGCAGTTTGGCATTTCCTGAAAGAGCTGAACACAGAAATTCCATATTACCCAGCTATTCCACTGCTTGGAATAGCAAGAGAATGAGAACTGAGGCACAAATGGAAACTTATACACTAATGTTTATAGCAGCATTATTCACCATCACAAGAACACGGAAACAGCCCACATGTCCAACCACAATCAAACGGATTGAGAAATTATGATACATTCACATGATGGACTACTATGCAGTACGCAGGAGCAATGATTTTATAAATCACTACATAACTTGGGAGGAACTGGAGAGCATTATGCTAAGGGAATTAGCTCAGTCACAGAAGGACAAATATTAAGATCTTTATTGTAGAATGAGTATGAGGATCCAAGGCTGCAGAAGGTGGGAGCATAGGGGTGAGGATGGATAGGGGGTGGAAAGGGGGTTAATCATAGAGTCATAAAATTTGATGGGTGGAGGGGAGGGTGGGTGAAGCAAATGGGAAAGATCTGGTGTGAAATGCAATGTATACAAACTTTCTAAATAAGCCAGTTTAAAAAAAAAAGATGGAAGAAACACACAGAGTCACTATACCATTGGTGGACACTGAACCATTTCAGGAAGTAGCATACAATTAAGAACCAATGGTTCTTAACAGTTCTGAAGGAAGAAGCTCAAGTTGCACTGAATGCATTGACAAAATGTATGTCATCAGAAACTGACAGAATACCAATTGAAGTATTTCAACAAACAGATACAGCCTTGGACATACTCACTAGACTAAGCAAAGAAATTTGGAAGACAGTTACCTGTCCAGCTGACAGGAAGAGATCCATACTTGTTCCTAATCCAAAAAATGGTAATCCAACATCATATAGAAATGAGCAAACAATATCATTAATAACACTTGGAAGTAAAATCTTGCTGAAGATTACAGTTAAATGGTTGTAACCATTGGAGGACTCAATAGACAAAATATTGAACAGTGCAGGAAGAACCAAAAGAAGATGAAAGGAATACACAGTTATTGTAGCAAAAAAGAAGTAATCAACCTCATCCATTTCAGGAGATACATACGATCAAGAACTGCCAGAACTGAGGAAAGAAGTCCACGTCACATTGAAGGCACTGGCCAAAAACCAAACTTGACCAAACGCTGTGATGTTTCAACAAATGAATGGAACAGTGTAAGTTCTCACTTGCCTATGCCAACTAATTTAGAAACCTAGCCAACTGACTAGAAGAGATACATATTTGTGTCATTTCAAAGACAAGTGATTCAACAGAATGCAGAAATGATCAAATAATATCATTATTATCACACAAGTGAAAGGTTGCAGAGATAGTCCTGGAAGATCAGAATGATCCAACCAGTACCATTGCCAACTTGAATCAGTAGCTTTGGTGCTGGCTTAACTCACAGACACGTTGTGGGAATTTGCCTCTGACAAGCACTCACTTAAGAGCAACTCCAGAGAGCTCTGGTGGCCTTGTGGGTAACAAGTTGTGCTATCAACTATAAGGCTTGAATCCACCAGTTGGTCTGCAGCGGAATTATGGGAAATCTCCTCTTGTGTGAGGAGCCTCTGAAAATCTGCTGGAGAGTCATCTATGAGTTGGTTCCAACTCAACAGTAATGAGTTTTTGAGAAGAGCAACTCCAGATGGACCCTGCATTCAATACCCAATACAGTACAGGCAAATATAGAGGCATGTCTCAGAGATTATAAACAAGTGAGGAAAAGAATAATGATGGTTTCTTTGGGGATAAAAGTCTAGAAACGCAGGCAAGGATGCAGTTTTCTGAAATTTTGACTTGCTCATAGCTGGCTTTTGATTTCTGGTATTTTCTGCAATTCCCTCTAGGGATTAGCATTTTTTAAACACTCATTTTATTTTGTAGACAAAAGGATAACCTCAGGCCAATCTGATTTGGGGTCACACTAAAATAAAAAGAAAGCGAACCCTACCTATTCACAGGACTGTAAAGGAGGAGGGGCAACCCTAATGTGGCTTTTTCTCAAAGCCCCAAATTGGGTCCCTCCATTTACCTATTCTCTCTTCTGATAGCTTCTTCCTCTGTGTAGTCAGCACCTCTGCTTTCATACTGTACAGGGATATCTGTAGCCAGTGCCAAGGGGAGGAGGTTAAGGCCATCCAGCCACTGGTTCTCTTCTTGGGCCACTTCAGCACCAACAATGCCCAGGCAGTGCTGGAGCTCAGGCAGTGTCAGTGGCCGCAGCCATGTAGCCAAATTCTCCTTCTCCTGTTTCTCATCCTTTTGTGCCATCACAAAAGGGCAGGCAGAGTACAGGTGCCCTCGTTGGAACCTCTGCTTCTGTGGATGGCAATCAATATGGGAGGCATTTGTTAACAAAGATGTGTCTGGGGCAAAGGCTTGGTCTATGGCATCTAGCAGATCCAGCTGGAGTTGGCATTGGATCCAAGGTGCCCAGCGGTATATCTGCTCCAGAAAAGGCAACAAATCAAGGCAGTAAGAGAGCAGTGACCGATATGGAGGCAGCAAACCCAGCACTGCATGCAGGTAGTGCCAAGCTGCAGGGCTTCCATCCTGCAGCACTGCTGAGAACAGGGCTTGGAGTTCAGCTACCAGGAGCCCCACAACTGGAGGTTGCTCTGCCTTCCTCACTTCCTTCAGGAACTGTTTCTCTTTCTGCTCAGAGGCCAATTGCTGCTCTTGGCTCTCTAGGACAAATGCTGCCTTCCATGATGTAAAGGAATCAGATGATGCCGCATCAGATGAGAGCTCCTCCTCCTCCTGGACTAGATGGTGTTGAGCGTTCAACTGTTGTCGCACTGACCTTGCCCACTTTTTGGGTTCCTCCAGCCAGTTCCAGGTTCTGGGCTGCTGAGCCCCACCTGCTTGCCTCAGCCCAGGAGAGAGAAGAGTTCTTAGATTTTAAGTAGGAGATAGTTAAAATTGATGGTGAGAGGCTGGATAAAGGAAAGGGGAAGGAGAAAACACCTAAGGCACAAAACTGGGTGCAGCTGCAGGGTTGAGTCAGAACAGCAGAAGGCCTTTCTTGAGATGCCCAAGCCCTCTTAGCTCCTCCCTCTTTACCCCTCTAGTAAGAAGTGGGCTCCCTGCATGCACTGGGGGTTCTTCCCTATAACCTGTCCTCTTTACCTGGCAGAGCTGGTCCAGAAGTTGAAGGGAGAGCAGAGGTGCAGGTTTGCAGATGAGGTATCATTGGGAAATGCCTACTGGAGAGGAACACAGGCTCACCCTTCAACCACCTCCACACACAGACTGAAGTACACACGTGTGCTCACATGAAGAGACAAACTGATAGACACGGCTCCATCAGAACACCTTGGCCACAGTAAGCAACCTATACTCGGGCTGGAGCCTGCATGGAGATCGCCTGAAAAGGAAGAACAGGGCAGCAAACACTCAAATACAGCAAAGCCCCCAGTTCCATAGTCCATCCGCCCACAGGTTGAGAATTGAAAGGACAGAAAGCAGAGGAACCTGCATAGCTAGGCACTTCGTCTGAATGGACGTGGAGCAAAAGGAAGAGCTGGCGAAGGAACTAGCTGGAACCTGGGGAGAGAGAAATGTGAAGGGGGAAGCTGGCTCCGACTTGCTTAACAAAAATGAAAAGGGGGCGGGACCTCCCTAAGGAGCAGGGGCGAGAATTTAGGGATCAAGGAGAGCGAAGAGAAGACTCAACTGCAGCCCGTCTCCTCTTAGCAGTTAAGAGGGTTACAACAGCCCCAGAAGCTCGAGTCTCCTCTATTGGCCCAAAGCGAAAAGGGGCGTGACCAGGGCTCCGTGTGGGCGGGGCCTGGAGCTGAGGCAGCATTGAAGGGGACTGGCAGAGCGCCAGGCTATACTTGAGAAAGAGTGGGGTACTTGAATCAGGGGAATAGCAATCCCGAGGTAATCCTGGGCAGATATAATCATGTACTCGTTTATCCATTCACTGAGTGTCTAAACAACTGCCAACCAACACCGAATGATGCCTTTGAGACCTCCTGGCTCACTGAATAAAAGGTGACATCTGAGCAGTTATGAACAAAGGATGATAACTATCTTTTGCCTTACTAATTCTGATTCAGCCTTTAGATCTGTTTATCAAATAACTCCCTCGGGGAAGCTCTCCTTCATTCTACAGACATGGGAAGTTTGAATCATTTGTTCCCATTACAACATATATTTCTTCATAGTACCCAACAAAATCGTGACTATTCATTTTACATAAATCTTTGTCTAACATTCTAAGAGAATAAGGCTTCATCTGTCTCTTTAGCGTCTGTATCTGCAGGATTCAAAATGTTGTTGTTATTGTTAAGAGTCGTTGTTATTGTTGTTATGTGCCGTTGAGTCGCTTCCGACCCCTATGTACAACAGCCCTAAACTCTGTTCTGTCCTGTGCCAATCGCACTGTCTCTGACACACCCATCACGATTACCCCAGTCACTGCATCAATGCACCTCATAGAGGGCCTTCCTCTCCTGCGCTGTCCCTCCACCCTCCCAAGCATCATGTCCCTCTCCAAGGACTGGTCCCTCCTTACAGCATGTCCAAAGTATGTCAGATGGAGCCTCAGAATCCTTGCCTCCAAGGAGCAGCCCGGTCTAACCCTCTTCAGGATGAATCTGTTTTCCTAGCAGTCCATGGTACATTCAATACTCTTCTTCAGCACCACAGCTCAAAGGCATCAATTTTTCTTCTGTCCTCCCTAGTCATTGTCCAGCTCTCTGATGCATAACAAGTGATAGC